ACTGTGCACAGAACAAATAGAGCAGGAATTCTCTGCAGTGACAATTTGTCCTATCCTATGATCCCTTGGCACGAGACTGAGGACCATTTTCACATGAAGACCTTATGTGGGTAGACATTACTCAATTTGAGTCAGATTAGGGAAATAGACGCTCCAATTCTGAAGTGAAAAAGAAGGTAGTTAATCACAGATACATGACACTGACTTACACAGATGTTCTGCTTCCCTCTGACTCACCGTTGGAGCCTCAAAAAGGGATAAATTTTAATTTTGATATAGTAATTGCAACACAGTCACACCATAACTCACATCTTCATATTATGCTCTTTCTGCCTTGTTTCACACCCCTGATTTAGAGCCACGTTTTGAATTATCCAAAAGAGGAGGGGGCTGGAAACAAGGTCAATTTGGAAGGAAATTATCAAGTTGACATTTCTAAGGAAAAATAATACCCTAATAAACACATGAAGGCATTGGAAACAAATACCCACAATCATTTTGCAAAATAGAAACATGTTTTGCTGGCTGGGCACAGTACTCTCGTTTTCCAGATAGAACTGAGCATGGTAAAAATGGAAGGATTCTCATCAACTTTCTGTCTTCCTGACAAAGCTCTGGTTAGTGTTATGGAACGTGTACAGCCCATGGGGGTAATTCTCAGAGTAGATTGTTTGGCTATTAACTCCCTGTTTTTTTTTGTTTGTTTGTTTCATGATCTTTATTATCTTTGAGTTGTCTGAGGGCAGCTGAGCTTGTTGCTGGGCCCTAATCTTTGACAGTCAGTGAGAAAGATGAGATTTGTTCAACTTAGGGAATACTCTGAAAGAAAATGGGTAAACAGAACAGACGCTATCACATCCACATCTGTGGCTTAGAAAAACGCTATTCTAAAGAATATAAGTGGTATTAGTGAGCCGTATGAACAAGTACTCATTAGGGGTCAAAATTACAAAGATCCTTCCAAATAACACATTCTTCTTTATTTATCCTCCAGAAATAATTTGTGAATGGATTATCCTGCAAAAAAATGACTCAATGCCTGGAGTACTCAGACCTTAATACATTAACAGCTGACAGCTTAGGCTCTGAAAACCAAACCAAACCAAAAACAGGTTACCAGTTGTCATGTAAAGAGGTAGCCTGGGAAAAATGGAAGGTAAGGTTAGTTGATATAACCTAATCAATTACTCAACTAATTTCACCTCTTCCAATTCACTCAGTGCCCTATTGGATAATATTTCTTTTGTCTTTAACACTGGAGTGAGTGCAGGGATGAACACTACCGCTTTACGCAGCTCCATTTAGCAGTAGCAAAGGCAATTGTCTTTAATAAGGGACAATTGAGACATCATCAGAGGTTCGGAATCAACTCAGTTATGTAAGTTGAAAGATCAGGACGGATGGCACAGGCCCAGTCTTGGCAAAAAGTAAAAAAAAAAAGGGGGGGGGTAAAATTAGCTGATTTAAGAGACCCTGTCATGCGCAGTTGATGTGAACTGGTTTTCATGTCTTCTATTGGTTTCTTCTAGTGTTGAATATGAATACTTTAATACTTGCCAATATTTATGTGCCAAGTGTTTATTTGGGGGGGGCATCTATTATGATTTCAAAATTAAAAGTACCTTGATTCCTCTTGGGGCAAGGAAGTGTGCAGTTTCAGGAAGGCCTCAAAAATCTGGGGTCAAGTCTTGGCTGTCATTTACTCACTGTGTGATCTTGGGCAAATCACTTAACTTCCCTGAACCTTGTTTTTTTAAGGAAGATTCATTTATCCCTGTGGTACTGTTCAGAGAACTAAATGAAATAATTGGAGGCAACGTGGCTAAGAAAAGGCACTCAGTAGATAGTGGCTACTATGGTATGAATTAGATTATGATCGGAAACCTACTTTTCAGCTCCTAAATTCCATAAAATTTGCAAAGATGAGCAATTCGTACCAGGTTTCTGAAAGTGTGTATGATTTTTAAAAACGAATTACATCGTCAAATAAGTCTGAGAAACAGTGCATGCTCTATCCCTTTCCTCTTGTAAGTCATAATTCATTTCCAATATAATTGAATTTGCTTAGAATTCCCAAAGTTAAAAAAATGGTTTAGTTTGATGGAATCAGGGTCTTCTAAACTTATTTGATCATAGAAATGTCTCTTTCACAAGATATATTAATATCCTAAGAACTTTCTTGCATTCCATGTAGAGATATGCCAAATTTGTAAGTATTTTAAACGCTAGAGTATAAATAAATTTTTGAAAGTAAGATACACTGAATGGTCTGTGATACCTCAATACCAACATTAAGGCTGATTTGATTTTCAACAGCATCAAGACAAGGCAGAATAAATGAGGAATACGATGAAAGTGAAAGACCATTGACTTAGGGCCAAGTTTTGTTGGTGTTACAATCACTTTTTTTTGTCGGTGGTGTTTCATTGACTAAACGTGCCTTAGGAATTCAGAATACCCAGGAGGTTGGTAAAAACTCTTGGTGCAGTTGTTTATTGGCCCTGAAAGAGGGAGACAGAGTATATCAGCATAAGTACTATGGTTCCAGTTCTACTCCTAGCAAAGCCAAGGTTAAGTACAGTGGAACATAGCAAAACTCTGAGGCTATTAAAAATCCATCTCAAAATAGTTGCATTCATATATTTTAGGAAGAACGTCAACTTTGTTTCACTTTCAATTGCCATAAATAGTGCTGGAGTTTTCTTAACACTTTTATTTATTTATATATATTTACTTCTCCTTTTTTGTTGTTTAAGCTGGCAATTTCCCTTAGTTTACTATTGTTCTATGTGGATATCACATGTAGTTAGTTCTAAGAGACAGAAAAAAGACTGCAGGACTAAAGGATTGGGTTTTTAAATTGCTTTGAAAGCAAAAAGAAAAACAAAAACCAAAAAACGCAGAAAATGTGGAAACTGCTACTTCTATGTTATTCTTATGAGTATTCACTTTATCATTTTTAAGCAGAAAAATACTTTATATTAAAGCATTCATTTTAATGATTTGGATACTAATCAACATGTTCTTAGCACTATTACTGTAATTTATTGATGTTTTAGCTGTACTTGTTTTTAGATTTCTGTCCCCATACCCATATGAAAAAGAACATTCCACAGTTGTTGCAGCCACATATAGCCAACTCTCAGAACAGTTTCTAAAGTTGAATAAAGATAAGCATTTAAGTCATCTGGTATTTACTGTCCAAATCTGGCCTTTTCAGCTAGCATAGTACTTGGAATGTGTATTATAGTTTCAGGTAAAATTTTTGTGCTCGTCCTATTGAATCTTGTTAACATTTATAGTAAAGGACAAACAATTCACCTATCCTGATAAAATATATTGTAGCTCCCTGAAACCTTTGAATTTCGAATAAATGCCAACTTGTTTTGGTATCCATTACCACTTTCAAATTGCATTGTACAGTATAATGTAAATGTGAGTTCTTAATTAGCAGGATCTGTTTTGTTCAAATGTACAACAGTAGAGGGATTTTCCAACATACTGCAGCTGTTACCTATGGAAAAAACAAATTTCACCTTACTAAGAGGAGCTGCACAGTACCTATGTTGTTATGGATGGATCCTTTAGTGTTTCCTTAAGCAATGCTATTTCATAATGGATTTCACATTGAACATAGCAAATCTTACCATTGCTGTTCCCTCGACTTCTGCCTCTAGGTTGATTTTAAAAGATGAAATTTTTAAGGGCAATCAGGAGTGGGGGTGGAGAAAGGGTTCTTTATGAAAGATGCAATGTTTACCAAGGTCATAAAGAAATATGCCTTAATATTCATTTAAATATTGAATGTGCATTTCTGTATACATGCTGTGTCCAGCAAACATTTGCATGAATATAACCTAAAGGCAGCCTCAGGAAATGACAAAATGAAAAAATTTAAACTCATACATGAATAGATACTGCAGATAATACAGAAGGTAGGACAGTATCTGCAAATAATGTAATCAATCCTTTGCTCATTGGATTTTTTTGCCTACATTTCGAGGCCCTTAAACATCAACCAGTTATGGTAAATGTTTAACTGTAGGAGTTCAGGCAGCCAGCCAAATTCTGGTTTCAAAGCTACTGCTAGTTTCAGCTTAAAGAGTTTTTCATTTTTAAGTAAAAGCATTTCTGGGTACTGGCTATACCCTACTGTGGTTAGAGCAACTGGAATTTGAATAAGTGGACTGGGCAGAGCATAGGTCCTCAAGAAATGGGCCCCTGCAGTATCGTCTGAAATGTGGCGAAGAGTGGGCTACTAGGAGTCCTGGGGAAATACTTCCCACTAATGACTTAGCTCTATTTACCTAAACCTGGTTTATTGCTCCAGACACAAAGTAATGAGAAAGAGTTGTTTTTCTTAGCCAAGCACCTACAAAAAAAACCAGCAAGGTTACGGGGAGGGGAGCGAAACGACCGGTTTAGCCTTTTCTTGTTGGAAAAGCCAAGGATTTGAAATACACACACGAGAGCCAAAGTCCCCTGCCCCATAGGTACATTTGCTTTCTTCTCAAGCTTAGGAACTAAAGGACCAGTCTGCACGAAACTGGTTTGAACCTGAGCTCTTCCTCAGGATATTTCTACCCTCTTTTGGAAGCACTAACAAATGGGTAGAGGAAAGGGGCCTAGAGACAATCCACGCGCGGGATTTGCAGCCTCTGGATGGATATTTGAGATGCAACTGCGAAAGCCTCTTTGATACAGACATGACAATGGAGGGGGCTACTGAAGTGACTTTTCTTAGTCCATTTTGTCTCCTTTTACGTCTCCCCGAGGTATCCCGTGGGTCTCTTCACAAACCCTTCCGCCCAGCCCCAAAGCTTGAAACCTTGCTCCCCTTCCCTAAAGTCTCCCATGTAGCCACCACCCTCCCCAACCAAAGTCCCCTCCCGGTCACCACCAAAGCCTGGAGAAGTGGAACGCACACAAAGCCTCCCTTATAGGGCTTGAGCTGGGGACTGGGCATGCTCAGTAGCCAAAGCAGATTTTTTTTTCTTCTTTTGGTCGCAAGTGCGGCATCTCTTCCAGTCCCACACCTCTTTCCTCTATCCCTATCCCCTCTCCCTACCCCCAGCTCCATAATCACCCTGCTTAACCCGTTCGACACCGAAGGCTCGCCGAGTTCTAAGGTACGGAGAATTAACCGTCTCCTCCGAAACCCACGAAATAGTCTCACTTTGGGCTAAAGCTTCACACTTTTGCCTTAAAGCCCCCAGCCCCTTACGCGCAGACAGGTAGGGGGAGTGCTAATACTACTGGATCGCAGGAAACTGGTCCCAAGAAGGCTCTATCCAGGATCGCCCACTACCGAAGAAGTATTCCCGGAGCCCTCTGTTCTGCGGGGTGACAATTAGCCAAAGGTACCGTACCCGTGATACAAAGCCCAAGTGCGATTGTTGCCTTTGAATGTTATTGTTGTTGACTCACCCCCCGCGATCCTGGAATTATTCAGTTCGGCGTAGACTCGACGCCCCAGTCTACCTCCCTCGACCCCCCTTCACCCCGGCTCTCCGATGTTTCTTTGGCTTTGCCTAGGTTCTTGGTTGCTCTCTCAAAGGAACGCCCCGGTTGTGTGTGTGAGTGTGTGTGCGTGTATGCCTTCGTTCTTTGGGAACTGGGAGAGGAGAAAGGACTCGAGTGTGCGTGTATGGGGGTGGGGGAGAGGTTGGCGCGCTCGCGTTGGGGGACCGGGGTCTCTACGCGTGAGGAAAGGGGTCGCTCCTCCCTAGGGGGCGTTTTAGACATAAAGAGGGGGCGGATGCCAGGAGGAAAGTGCGCTGTCTTTCCCGGTGTGTGGGTAGAGGAGGAATCAAGTGGGGGTGTCTGGGTGGAGGACCCGGGAGCTCAGGAATGTGCGGGGGTCGAGGTGCTTGAGTGTCTGGAGGGAGGGCTGCGTGCGTGCCGGGGGGAGGGGGGACGGGGGCGGGGATTCAGCGCGTGTATGTAAAGGTGCAGCCCGTGTGCCGAGGGTCTGGGTGCGCGCGCGGTGTCTGGCCCGGTGCGCGCGCGCGCGCGCCGCTGCCCGCCTGCTTGCTTGCCAGGGCTGCTCAGTGTGTTTGACGGGCGAGCGGGCGCGGAGGAGCTGGAGCCGAGATCACGTAAACTGCAGCACGGATCGCAGCGCCACAGGCCCTGCGAGAGCCGCCAGGCTCCGGAGGTGGGTGAATTTCCAGCGGGGGCTGAGCGAGCTGCACGGACACGCGCTGCCTCTTCCCCGCTTGGCTCAGCGGCGTGTGTGTGTGTGTGTGTGTGTGTGTGTGTGTGTGTGTGTATATACGCGCGCGCGCGCGTGCGCGGAGAGGGGCAGGTAGCTTATTTTTAGTTTGGGTCGTGTTGGTTTGGGGCCGGCTGAGTGGCCAAAGCGGCGGTAGTAGCTATCCCCACCCCCGCCTCCGGGCCCGCTTGCCAGTCCCCCGCGCGCTCGCAAGTCCCGGAGGACCGAAAGAATCCTATGTCCTTAGCATCCCTGCCCCCAGGGAGGCCGGGGCAGCGGGGAAAGTGTCCTGGTCTAGGGCGGCTCGGGCTGTCGGGGCCGCTGCGCTGGGCTTTGTTTTCTGTGCCCACGTCGCAAGCACTCTAGGCAGACGAGGATCTGGGTCTCCGGGCAGTGGCCCGCGAGCTGGTTGGAGATTGCTGGCACCCAGCAAGACAGGGGATGCGAGAGACGCCGATGGGTAACTCTGAAAGCCCTGCAAAGCCGGGCAAGCGCTGGCAGCGCGACTTTGCAAGATGCCCAAATGTTGAGCCGATTTCTGTCTTGGTGAGAGCAGCATTTTGTGGCTGGCCAGGGGAGGCGGGGGAGGCCGGCAACGGGGAGCTTGGGCCGCCGTTCTCGGCCAAGGAGCCACGGGGTCACTCTGTCTGTGACAAGCGGGCCAGTGACGCCCCAGTGGCCATCGCCCTCTTGGCCTGAGCGCCGGGCCATCTCTTCTCCCTCAAGCACCGCACGCCCGGGTCTAGAGAGGCCGACGGAAACTCCAGCAGCTGCCCCTTGTGGGACCGGAGCGCGCGGAGAAATGTGTGCGCAGCGGGGCTGAAGGCCCCCGCGACAGCACGAGCGGTCCGCGCCTCGGCTGTCCGGCCCACGAGGCCGCTGCTCGGGCCCGGGACCCGGGAGGGGAATGGTGCCGGCTCTGGGCACCGGGATGCGGCAAAACATTGCGGTACGCGCCATCGCCAGCGGCCCCTCCAGCCTCTTAGCTGTCGACCCGAGGTAGCGCACAGGGGGCGGCAGTGACCGCTTGTCTCCGTGGAGCCCTCCACCCCCGCCCTAGGCTGACAGGCGGAGGTTTCCCATGGCAGCTCCAGGGGTGCCATCTCGGCCCACCCTCCCGGGTCGTCTGCTGCCCGCATGCCCGCTTCCTCTCCACGAGCTCGGAGCGCCAGGAGCGGCACTCTGGTAGATCCGGGATTTGTGGTAAAGCTAGGTTCGCGCAGTCCTGGCCAGCCTTGGGAGCCGAGCGTCTTGCCGGGCAGAGACAGAGACAGAGACACAGACCGCGCTTGGCAGCAGCCCAAGAGGTAGCTTTTGGTACCCAACTCATACTTTGTGTTTTCTTTTTCGCCTTTCTCCCCGATTTTAAAATGTGCATGTTTTAGCAGTCCTGTGTGAATGTGAGGTTTCTGGCGCTTACGTGCAATGCCCCGTCCCCCTCTAGTTCCCTTCTCTTTTTCTTCCTCTGTCTACTTCTCCATAGTCTCTTGCCCTTTCAGCCCCTTTTCTCTTCTCTCCTGGGCGGATCGACTCCCCCGCTCCCTTGCTCAGCCCTGCAGCTGCCTTGGCTTCCTCTGTTTTATAGAGCTGCATTTGGGAACTTCCTCGCTCGGCCTTGCGTCTTTTCCCCCCCTTGCTCCTTAAAGTAGAAAATACGCGAGGAGGAGGGCAGCTCCTTATGCAATTTCAGATCTGTTGATGCTCCTTGTTCTTATTTTTGTACGGAATTTAGGTTATTCGGGGTTTTTACATTTTGTTTTGTTTTTGTAGTTTGGTTGCTGTTTGGTTTCTTTTGGGGGCGGGGGTAGAAACAAGAAATGAGTCCACTGAACCAGAGGAAGCTGCTGAAACCCCTGTCTATATAGCAAGGCAAAAAGATCAAGTGAAATTTTGATTTTACAATGAAAGTTGGTTTGAATGATGTCATACTTAAGAATTATGACTTCTTTTTTGCACTGCCAATCAAGCCATCACGGTGAGTAGGGGAAATGCATGTCTGTGTGGCAGCCAAGGAGCATCTCGGCAGTGCCGCCTGTATTCTGAACCAAATTCCTTAAAATGCAAATCTTCCTGGGTCATGGCTAGTGGATTGTCTACCTTGAGACATACATGTTCGGTTTACCACTAGCTGATTCCTCGTGGGCAAAATAAACAAAGGAGTTTCTGTGTGACACTTCTTTCTTTGTATCAGTCCCTCGTTGTGTGTTCCTTGGTAATTTATTTAATTAATATTTGATGGTAACCATATTGAAATTGCAGCCAGCTTTCCATTCAAGATGGAAAATACTCACGTGGCTAAAATGGCATCAATAAAATGCACAATACTTGTTCTTCCTTTTAACCTTTTCCATGAAGCATTGCATATATGTGGGTATGCATGCAATATTTAAGGAATTGGCTTCAATGGGTTAATTTGCTAAGCATTAAACTCCACTAAAGTGAATTTTGATTTGTTTAAGGACAGAGACATGAGGTGGTACTATTGGGAAGGGGAGGTTTGGGAGATGATGATTTTAGGACAAACATTTGCTGTACTAAACGTATTTGGCGCTGCAGATAAAGCCACTCCACAATTGGAGTGTGTGAACTCTTCCTCAGCAGTGGCAGTCTGTGGTCAAAGTGAAGGAGAAGCATTTGAGCCAAGTGTCAGTTGGACCTGGGTTCAAAATGGCACACAAAGGAATGGAAGAGGGCCAGGTCAGCAGGAAAGCCAGTTCTTAGGGGTGGAAAAGCTGGACATCAGCTAGTCAATGCAGGAGCAGGCGTGTTTCTCTCCTGCTTTCAGGGACCGAAAGACAAAAGGCTTTTTTCCCCCCTGTTTGGAAGATGACTGACAGGAGACTGGGTATGGGTACCGTTTATTTACCTGAAACTAAAACTTGGCCATCCCCTACTCGGTTATTTTTCTAGAAGCTCACAGGGTCATCTGTGTGGTTGTTGTTTTTTTAAGGCAGCAGTGTACAGGAGGGAACTGCTTCATAGCAATGTGTTTTCCTTTGGACTGAAGCTCAGGTCAATCTCTTCCCAGGGCTCTTTCTACCTTGGCCTTTGGACTGTCCTCTGTACCAACGACCCAATCCTCCTACTGCCCTCCTCCACTGAGCACAGGGGTCTAATATCTTCTTTGCTCAGCCTCTTAGCAAGCTGAAGCCTAGAGAGTAGACATCTACAAATTGAAATGCCTTTGTGGTGCTAATGACAATGGTGGACGCGTGATAGGCTGTGGTCAGTCATTAGAGTTGCAAATAGGAAGCTTAAGGTGTATGTGTGTTCCGGGGCCGCAATTTGGTGGCCCGCATCGAGAAAATATTTCAGACTGTTAAGGTTTAAGCATGATCAGCAGTCTTTTTTCCTGTTGGTTGTGGTGCGTTCTGCACATGTAAATTTTGTATCAACTGCAGGTATGGAAATAAAACGTATGGCATCTGTGGTGGTTATGGTTCAACTGAGTGAGAATACTTGGAGTTCTCGGTGCCTTAAAAATACAAAGCTAATAATTATAGCCATGTGTTCACTATGGCATGCCAAGTTTCCATTTACTATACTTATAAACACAAATAATTTTCAAGTAATGATCATTGAAACAATGTTTTCTTTTTATTTTGTAGATTATTTCTCTTTATTCAGAAGCATAAAGTTGTTTGCTGATTGCAAGAAGATGTTTCTTTGGCTCTTTCTGATTTTGTCAGCCCTGATTTGTTCGACAAATGCAGATTCTGACATATCGGTGGAAATTTGCAATGTGTGCTCCTGCGTGTCGGTGGAGAATGTACTCTATGTCAACTGTGAGAAGGTTTCAGTCTACAGACCAAATCAGCTGAAACCGCCTTGGTCAAATTTTTATCACCTCAATTTCCAAAATAATTTTTTAAATATCCTCTATCCAAATACATTCTTGAATTTTTCACATGCAGTATCCCTGCAGCTGGGAAATAATAAACTGCAGAACATTGAGGGGGGAGCTTTTCTTGGGCTCAGTGCATTAAAGCAGTTGCACTTGAACAACAATGAATTAAAGATTCTCCGAGCTGACACTTTCCTTGGCATAGAGAACTTGGAGTATCTCCAGGCTGACTACAATTTAATCAAGTATATTGAACGAGGAGCCTTCAATAAGCTCCACAAACTTAAAGTTCTAATTCTTAATGACAATCTGATTTCATTCCTTCCTGATAATATTTTCCGATTCGCCTCTTTGACCCATCTGGATATACGAGGGAACAGGATCCAGAAGCTCCCCTATATCGGCGTCCTGGAGCACATAGGCCGTGTTGTCGAATTGCAACTGGAAGATAACCCTTGGAACTGTAGCTGCGATTTGTTGCCTTTAAAAGCTTGGCTGGAGAATATGCCATATAACATTTACATAGGAGAAGCTATCTGTGAAACTCCCAGTGACTTATACGGAAGGCTTTTAAAAGAAACCAACAAACAAGAGTTATGCCCCATGGGCACAGGCAGTGATTTTGATGTGCGAATCCTGCCTCCATCTCAGCTGGAAAATGGCTACACCACTCCCAACGGTCACACTACCCAAACCTCCTTACATAGGTTAGTGACCAAACCACCAAAAACTACAAATCCTTCCAAGATCTCTGGAATCGTGGCAGGCAAAGCTCTCTCCAACCGCAATCTCAGTCAGATTGTGTCTTACCAAACAAGGGTGCCTCCTCTTACACCTTGCCCAATGCCTTGCTTTTGCAAAACACACCCTTCGGATTTGGGACTGAGTGTCAACTGCCAAGAGAAAAATATACAGTCCATGTCTGAGCTGACACCGAAACCTTTAAATGCCAAGAAGTTGCATGTCAATGGCAACAGCATCAAAGATGTGGACACCTCAGACTTCACCGAGTTTGAAGGACTGGATTTGCTCCATTTAGGCAGCAATCAGATTACAGCGATCAAAGGAGACGTGTTTCACAATCTCACTAATTTACGCAGGCTGTATCTCAATGGCAATCAGATTGAGAGACTCTATCCCGAAATATTTTCGGGCCTCCATAACCTGCAGTATCTGTACTTGGAATATAATTTGATTAAGGAAATCTTAGCAGGCACCTTTGACTCAATGCCAAATTTGCAGTTACTGTACTTAAACAACAATCTCTTAAAGAGCCTGCCCGTTTACATTTTTTCTGGGGCACCTCTTGCGAGACTGAACCTGAGGAACAACAAATTCATGTACCTACCTGTCAGCGGGGTCCTCGACCAGCTGCAGTCTCTTACACAGATTGACTTGGAGGGCAACCCGTGGGACTGCACTTGTGACTTGGTGTCACTAAAGCTGTGGCTGGAGAAGTTGAACGACGGCATTGTTGTAAAAGAACTAAAATGTGAGACGCCCGTTCAGTTTGCCAACATTGAACTGAAGTCCCTCAAAAATGAAATCTTATGTCCCAAACTCTTGAACAAGCCATCTGCACCATTCACGAGTCCCGCACCTGCCATTACATTCGCCACCCCGCTGGGTCCCATTCGAAGTCCTCCCGGTGGCCCTGTGCCTCTGTCGATTTTGATCTTAAGTATCTTAGTGGTCCTCATTTTAACTGTGTTTGTCGCCTTTTGCCTCCTTGTGTTTGTGCTGCGGCGAAACAAGAAACCTATGGTGAAGCACGAAGGCCTGGGGAATACAGAGTGTAGCTCCATGCAGCTGCAGCTGAGGAAACATGACCACAAAACCAATAAAAAAGATGGACTGAGCACAGAAGCTTTCATTCCACAAACCATCGAACAAATGAGCAAGAGCCACACCTGTGGCTTGAAAGAGTCAGAAACCGGGTTCATGTTTTCAGATCCCCCGGGACAGAAAGTCGTCATGAGAAATGTTGCCGACAAGGAGAAAGATTTATTACACGTGGATACCAGGAAGAGACTGAGCACAATTGATGAGCTGGATGAATTATTCCCGAGCAGGGATTCCAATGTGTTTATTCAGAATTTTCTGGAAAGCAAAAAGGAGTACAACAGCATAGGGGTCAGTGGCTTTGAGATCCGTTATCCAGAAAAACAACAAGACAAAAAAAACAAGAAGTCACTGATAGGCGGCAACCACAGTAAAATTGTGGTAGAGCAAAGAAAGAGCAGTGAGTATTTTGAACTGAAGGCAAAACTCCAGAGTTCCCCTGACTACCTACAGGTCCTTGAGGAGCAGACAGCTTTGAACAAGATGTAGGCCATGCATTCTTACTTCATACAGAGGACATTTATTTAATGATGAAAGTGCCTTTTGTTGACTTGTAACTTCCAAATACTATATTATCAATAGGCATAGAGGCAGGTGTTTCCAAGGGTGTCTCATTAACTGTAGCTGCAAAGATGTATCCAGTAGAAGAGAATTTCCTTAATAGATTTTACTACAAAAAAAAAAAAACCTGTACTGTGGAGTCCTGTGGGGATACTGCAAACTCTGTTGCAAAACCTGTACTGTGGAGTCCTGTGGGGATACTGCAAACTCTGTTGCCAAAGGGATGCTTTATATACATACTACACTGAATTTGACCTCAAGAGGCAAATCTGTTTTGTACCCCGATGCAAAACCTTCGTCTCTTTGTGCTTTGTAAAGCAAACTCAAGAAAACTGGTACCAGTGTTCGCACCTCAGCTGAGTCCTTCACCTTGCACGTAGATTAAGTTGGTGGAACTGGAATAATCCTTTTGATTTGTGGCATTGTAACAACTCTGTGTAAAGATTATCTGAAAAGTAAAAACAAAACAACAAAAAAAAAGCATGCAAAGAGAGAACAATCGATAGTATTTGTAAATCGGTAAACCTTTATGGCCTGCATCTTGAAACCGCTGGATTTATAATGTTAAAGTGTGCAAATATTTGTTTAAAATATACCATGCATTACATAACTATAAAATAAATTTGAACACTTTAAGCATTACCTGTCTATACATAAAACCTAAAAGAGAAAAAAAAATCCACGTGAGTTACATAGCATTTGTGATCTGAAGAAATACGTGACGTTTATCAGAATTAAACATGGCTCAAATTAAACTAACATTAGAGTTTGTTCTCAGTTATGTGAAATACCCACAATCCTTAAAGGTTGTCCAAAATTAGCAAAGTGCTTACCGTGTGAGCGCACCCAAAGCTATTTTTGTAACATAATTCATATTTATGAAGTACTTTGTATACTAAATAGGAAAATATGTACTCTTTACTATGTATTTAATATGCCTGACTTGTTTTCCTGATCACAGGGAATTTATCAATAAGTATACCTTTAGACAGAAAAAAATATACCAAACTGAAACTGAAGCTTCTGTGTACAGAAATATTCTGGACATTGTGATCAGGTACAGTGTAAAAACAAAACAAAAAAACCAAAAAAGAAACAAAAATACAAAAAAAACAACAACAACAACAAAAAAACAGTTCTGTGCTATTTTTGAAAATTTAGCATATTCGGATTTGTTACCAACTGTGCATTTTAAAATAGGTCCCTTAGTTTTATAGTATTGTGTCTGGGGCAGTTGTTATTCGCCATCAGTTGTCTCGCTTTTCAGGATTCTATGAGCTTAATTCAAATAGTTTTCACGGCAAATATTTAAAAAAGCAATGAGTAAGGTTAATAGTTATATCTCGTATGCATCAGTATCCTGTTATTTCATCGTTCTGACTGCTATCAGATAATCAAGTAGAACAGTACACATCATGGTAATCTCGGCTATCAAAGCCACACTGTAAAATGCTTTCATTGGTCTCAGAGAGGTCACAGTCTGCAACTACAAATGGTATGCCACTGTATTTGCTTGTGCTGTTAACTTCTCCATCATACTTGGTCAAAGGAAGGAAGTACTTGATAATGGGAGATATTTGAAGAGTTTTAGGAGCTCCTGATTAGCAAAGTGACACCCTGAAACATATTGTCTTCTTGGCCTGCCTACGTATGTATAGTTTTTGTGCTCCATCTCTTATCACTACTGTAATTCATCAGTAAGATGACCAAGAAGGTAAACAACATAGACATTCTTCATGAATTTCAAGGGGCAGATGTTTTGGTGCAGCTTCCAAAATGATACTATGATAAAAGTTGTAATAACGTCCCTTAATTGATTACTAATTTCAGGGCTTTCTACGTTTGTTCAAAGATTAAAAAACAACAACAACAACTTGGCATTCTTGGAGGGGTGTGTGTGTGTGTGTGTGTGTGTGTGTGTGTGTGTGTGTGTGTATGCATACATATTGATAATTTGGAGATTTTTTTTAAGTAGCAAAAAAAATTGTCTCCATATGTGTGTGCTGGTGCTCTTAAAACTTTAATGTGTAATTTTAATTTTCATGACAATGTGACAACTTTATATGAATAGTTAAAAAATACAAACAAATACTTGCTTTCTAATCTTGAAAGAAAGGACATGAAGATGTGTGCCCGATAGCTCGTTTTCATCTACAATTTCATAAGGATTTTTAATATGGCATTACCATGTTTGCATGCATCCATGGATTAAAGGGCTCCTAATGCATCCTGACAGGATAAAGATGGAAAGGCTTCAAAGAAAGTGTTTTCGTTTATCCTGTCAATAAAGTATGGATGGATTGAAAAATCTTAAGTAGATGCTTCCAGAAGGAACCAGAAAGCTCCATCCATTATCTAGGGATCATAGGTCATTGGGATGATGCCTTTTATTCAGTGTGGTGATGCTTTGAAGATGTTTCGAGGTTTCTGCTGTTGTCAATGGCAAGGCTACCTGCCACCATCTCAAAGCTTGCTGTAACATATTGGCTATCTCAATCTCTTCGGCCGAAGGATATAAATCTTCAACCTTTTTTTAAAAAGTAATTTAAATGTATGTGGTTATTTGGAAGATCCAATTGTATGTGAATGACAGTAACAAATCCTTGGTTAAGGCTGACGTATTTTCCTTAACTGAAGTCATTGTGCCTACATTCTGCAGCGTATAGTATTTTGCACCCGTCTCTCATTAATTCTACTTGTATATTTTATGATAATGTAGTTAGGCATAAGTTTTGAGTTGAGTACAAGGGCAGTTAAAATACTGTATCTACATTTTGTTGGCTTCAACTATAACCTTGATGTTAGTTTAACCCCTTGAGGAATGGTATATCTGTCAGTACAGCATTTTGGGTAGACTTTGATTCAGATCTAGAAAATCCAAGAAGTACTCATTTCTAATGTGCTCTGACACATCATGGGTTTCTTGGCACCGCGTCACTTGCTTGGACTCTGTTAGAATGGTAGCAAAGAAAATGAGAGCATATGAAATCAGTGAAGGGGTTGAGATAATATATTATGTCCGTGTAATATAAATCAAGTTTTAAATTATTTTTTTATGAAATCAATAAAGATGAGTCGATTCTTTAAAAGTAAATCTTTGTGTAATTTTATGAGAAAGCAGCTATTAAAATACAGTGATTGAAGTCTATAAGGCAATTTATATTCTATATTTAGTTTTCCATTCTGCATAATAAACTGAATAAATATATTAATTAGAAAATCATTTAAGACCAGCTTTCCTTTGTTGCTTTTTAAAAACATTTAATTTCTTTAAGCCATAAGGATGCATAAGTTATACAGGGCATGGCCTCATGAGTCACGTCAACAGGTATTGTGGAAATAGAACACATCTAGAAATGTATGGCAGTAATATTAATCTATAATATCTTTTGCATGTTTTGTACATTGACATTGTATGAAATGAGCACAGTGAGTTATTATTTTTTTTTGTTATTGTTGTCGCATCCAAAGAGCTGGGGAGAAAAATATATTAAGATTGTATTTATAATCACTATTTTGAAATAAAGTAAAGAAAACACATTGTATTGTTTTTACCCTGATTCAATTATTAGCATTTTAGGTTAGTTTATAAGACAAAAATCAAGTAATGCTATAAAAGCTCATGTAAATCACAGAAAGGAACTGTTTTAATGACTTCTGTTTGCTTTTAATAACATCAAGGTATTAGAGAGAATTTATTAAATGCCATTTTTATGAAAGTATTAATAAAATTGTTTGCTACAATGGTATTTCTGAAGCCACAGTTTGTTAAATATATTTATCTTTCCATTATGTTTCAGAAGAAATAAAGCAGTAGCCAAACTGATCTTTTCACCTAGATTTGAGGGTAAGACACAGAGCTTTAGAATACTGTTTGTATTCGACTTAATTGCTAAATCTATGTTAAGAGATGCTTTCTTTTCAAACATCTTTGCAATCTATGTTCCTTTCCACTGGCAGCCTCTTTGGAGAAGAGTCAGACAGTGCCAAGATCAATATGCTTTGAATCTTGTTCATTCCCGTTAATCAGTTGGAATCTGACAACACTGCAGATAAGCAAATATTGATGTTCAATCTTAACTGTCTATTCAAATACTTTTAGAAACACTTCGGGACCCCTATCATCCACGGCCAGCGGAACGGGTTATGGGTTACCCACCTACTCATAGGGTAGATTGCGATTTTTATTTGTTGGTTTTTTTTTCAAAAATGACCCAAGTCATCAATCCATCACTTTACCAGCGTTATTATGGTTGAGAAAAATGAGCCAATTGAATTATGGTTCATTTGAGGGTAACAAAGATTATAAACAGACCGTGTTGACCAATAAAGTGGATTTAAGACACGTTTCCTTATGGGAAGAGAGAGGGAACCAGAATACACTAAGAAAGACTATTGTGGTCTTAGGTCTATACCTAGCTATGCTGAAGATGTGAACAGTATAGGCAGCGTATACAAATACTGTTGCACTAAATGATTTATGTATCACAGGATATACATCCCATGATTGTGCGACTTATTTTAGTTCTTTATGAGTATTGAGCACAAGGCTTTGGGTCCCAGCCACTCAGTTGGCTTCATTTCCGGTGTTCATTGAATTAGTCATGATAGTCAGATGGGCTGAACTAAAATATCCTGTTTGTGGCTTCACTTACCGAGAATAACTGATGACATGCCTCACGTTCACCTGATTATTGTTAACCCTCAATTTTAGACTTGCTGGGGAGCTGTCCTTTGTTAAATTAAAAGCAAATGGGGGGTTAAATGACTTTTAATAGCTTATTTTGTACAAAACTGCCCTTCATCTAATTTTGAATTTGATTTTGTTTTAGTTTCCACTGGTTGATAAGATTGTATTTTGGAAGGGGAAGTCAAGGAAAGCAAAGTACATTGCCTGTCTTACATGAAATACCATGACTTCTTAACTTTTAAAGATTATTTTTAGCCTCTTCTTCCTGTGTCTACAGAGGGAAAATGAAGCAGGCTCTGAGACAACTCCTTGAGTACTTTGAGCCAAATAATTGCTACTGAGAATAAAATGATTCCAATTTTTCATTCAATCATAATTACCAGATCCACTGACTGTAGAACCCAGAACCAGAAAAGAATTACTCAGGCCTCCACCTTCGTTTGCTTTTGTAGACACTGGCTAAATAGAAGTTCTGTGATTTCAATAACACATCAAAAATGAGAAATTACTTGTTTAACTTAAAAAGCTCATGAATAAGGCCTTGAGAGACATGATATGAATATGTAATGGAAAAAAATATAAAATATCACTTTCAAATTAGCCAGAGGAAGGACATAGTTTTCTGAAGTTCCTGAACAGTACATTTATTTCTCTTACTCGCCACTTCAGAAATACGACATAATTTCATGTGATGCTGGTTAGCAGCCTAAGGAAGCCATGTTGCTCAGTGGGTACTGCTCATGGAAGCCTTTGAAAATCATAGTAAGCTCTGTTCTGTTCTCCCTACTAAGAATTGCAATGTGTATTTCAATCATTGTTCCATGTAAACTGAACCATTGTGGTAAAATTCTGGACTTGATACTCAGTCATTTTAATGCTGTTTTCACTAATAAAAGTCTTTTCTTATAGGTCATATTTGTAGCCATTCAGTGTGTTTATTAGTGTCACATTAGTGAAGCTCAACATCAAAAAGAAATGCAAATCTGTTTTTCAGCTGATGCAATTGTTTATTAGGTTACATGAATGGCCAGATTTACCTACCTACGCGCACACGCACATGCACACACACACACAGGAATATACACAGTGAACTATGCACACAGTGAAATGATTTAATTGATGCAAACATGTAAAATGTTCCTGCCTTGACTACCTAGATTTTTCAAATCAAAGTAGGTATCATGGCCCCAAGTGGTAATTGTTCTGCTTTTTGCTTCAGTTTAAATTGAAACCTGACCACTGTTTCATGCACAGTGGAAAGCAGGCTCAGTCTCTCTCCCAGGACTTCCTTGGATTTCAGTCATGTTTGTTGTCTTGAGATTTGGCTTTAGTTTTCCTTATTTGTTAACTTTATCATCATCCTCACCCTCAGTCTACGAGCTTACTTAATGTATCATGCAGTATGTATTATAATCCCCAGGGAGCCAGCCACGATGCAAATCAATGCTGCTGTTACGTTTCACAAACATTATCCAGAGAGCCATGGAAGGGAAATTTATATCCAAAATAAAGAACCCCGGGGTGAGGATTTAATTAGAAATTATTAGGACATGGAAGTTTAAAAAGGGAAGAAGAAGACAAAGTAGATTGAAAAATGCTGACTAAACAGCTCTGCACCCAAGTTCAGCTTGGGGAAGGTAAGGGCAAAAGAGCAATGAGAGAAAAACAATATTTGCTTATCAGATAGAACTCAGAATCTGACTACAGAATAAGAATCATGGGAAAATACTCATATGTCAAATCTTAGACTTTCCTTGGTCTCTCTCTGCTTTATTTCTATTTAAATGTGCTATATACAATCTAGGCTAGATCAACACCACACTAGTAATTCCTATGTGTTTAAAGAGCTCAGTGGTCAATGAAAACGGCGAACTACCTTTGCAGCCCCCATGTAACTTTTTCCTCAGATGCCTGACATCATGGATTGACTGATTGTCAGGACCTCCAGATATAGTTCTAGTTGCAAAAACCCACTAAGTAGTATTTGTGTTTAATACAAACAAGAGGTGAAACATGCATGTTTACATATACTGACTTGTGATAGGGAGCCAAAGAAATGAACACAAACATTTCGGTTTCTAATGTGAAAAGCTGCTAGGTCTTTTGGTTTGTTGTCAGAAAGGGCTATTTCAATACGAATTACCAAGTGCATATTTCCGAAGCCATTTCCTGCAAGAACTCCCGGGAAGCCGTGTCTCTGCCATGGGTCCCTGTGTTCCATAGCAGGATGTATCACATTTGCCAAGTCCTCCCTGCTGGAAAGTCTTCTGTTCTGCTGGTATGAACAGCCCATGTCACCTATGGCACGGGCTAGCTTAGGGAGATTATTTTTCACTGTTGTTTGGCTTTTAGTGGCAGTACACACGAAAAATCTAGGATCCTGTGTCCAAGCATATATTCGCCACTGTACTATCACAGCTAGAGAGCATTTCAGTTGTAGATATTTTCTGCACTGCTGTATTTGTTTCTATTTACCACAACAGCTACTGGTTGTTTTATTCATAGCTCTCTTTCAAAGTGGAAGGTAATCACCACCCTGGAAATTCACCATTATTTATAGAAAGGATCACCACGCTTCTATCTGCCCATGTCTTGCTGTAACTTCTAGAAATATAGAAAATGTAGTACATTTGGTGACTGGCTTAAAAGGAAGTCCTGCTGACACAAAAAATAATGAGAGGAAAATAGAGTGAGTTATCAGGGGAAAAGTCAACTTCAGGGAGATCTTTCTCGTGCTCTAGGTGCCCTGGCATTGCAATTGGAGTGTTGGTCTTTCCCTTCTGAACTGGACTCAGAGAAATGAGATTTCGCTCTAGAATCCCTGAAATAACTAAAGTGTATTCTTGCTGACATGTGGGCAGGTTGGCCACGTGTGATCATAAACATGGCTGTAATTTTCTCCTTGCGCTTGATTTCAGAAATATTCACTTGCTCAGATTTGGCATGGCTGCCGGAATGCCACCATATCAACGCTCACCCTGAAAAGTCACAAAGCATTTTTTTTCTCTATGTACCCGAGCTGTGACACGGGAATGTGTATGGGAAACTGGATAAAGCCATCAGGATTAAGAAGGGGACGTGTGTCCTTAGGCAAAGAGGACTTTTACAAGAAACAAAAGGCAGGCGTTTTATTAAAATTACATCATGGTAGATCACCTTCCTTTGAACTTGTTGACTTTTTCTAGGCTTCAATATGTGCATTGTAAGAGAACTAGGCCTCAGTTCAGACATTTCCGTTCTCTGCACAGTCATCTTGGTTGCCTAGACTGTGTTACCGCGTAGAATGTGTGAGCACTAACTGGGTTATTTAATCCCAAATGCATATCTGATTTCAGCTGCTCATTTGAATATAAACACATCGGAGAAGGCCTGTTTCTAGCATAACGTTCTTAGTGTTGCCAAGTGAGACTGAACTAAATGGTCTTTATTCCATCTTAAAGGTTATCAGAGCAGTGTTAAACCAAGGGCCTGTTGGTGAATAGTCATCTGCGATGTTGAAGAATTATCATCGGAAAGCAGTATACATACTCATTAAATTTCCAAATTAGATCATTTGATACCAATTCCTTTTCTTTTGGAAGAGCAAGTAGGACTAGAGAAGGAAGGTGACTTTGGCCCAAGGTCAAATACCGTATTATGGCCAATCTGGTCTATGACCTGATTCTCTTGACTCACAGGATAATGCAATTTCCATTACACTGTTCTATTTGGAAGTTCAAGAGGGAAGAGTAAGAATCTGTGGGTGAGACTTCAGGGAGACATTCCAATGTAGCAGAAGAACATTTTCCCACAATGTTGTATAGCAGCTTGTAACTGGAATGAGCTAGATAAAACATACAGAGTTCTTTAGCCATGGAAGTGTCCAAAGTTGCAATGGTTCTGACAAGGAGAATCGATGTTATTCAAGAAAATATATTCGAATGCAAGCTTGGACTAGATGATCTTGGAGGACACTTTTAACTGTAAGCTCCTAGGATTCGCTGGTTTATACACAATTCATTTATCAAGCAAGTCAAAACTATCAAATATGTATTTTGTCCCAAACATTCAAATAATCTATCGTAGTTTAATTGCTAATAAATGATATCTACTAGAGTCTAGAATAACAAATCAATAATCCAAAATACCAGTTATATATTAAGCATCATTTTAGAAGAGGCGTAAAGCTCTCTCTAGTTTTTTGCATTTTCATTTTGTGTCAGCATTCCGAAAAGAAGAGTCTCTAATGTTTAATTTTGTACAAAGGAAAAAAACAACCTCCTTTGTACATTGCACTGAAGGTGGCACTCTAGTAACAACCTCACACTAGAAATGATAAGGCATGCTTATATTTATTATTTTAATCCTACATTTCAGTTCTGCGGTTATTTCTTGAGATTGGCTAATGGAACAAAAAGGTTAGTTTATTGTTATATCGTCCTCTCTAATTGGATTGGGTCTATTTTTTTATTATTTACACTCAATTAGATAGAATTAGAATTTATTCCAAAGAATTTTAGTTCAGGTTATAGCTCAACAGACTGTATTAAGAATAGCAACTACAAATTATCTGAACTATTACAAAATGCTCTCAGAAATTCTTATTTGAAGTGTATTCCATGGGGACAGCAGTTTCCATTAAAAAAATATATAATTAAAAAAAACCTTCAGACTCCAAGGGTTTTTGGTTGTTTATTTCAGTTGTTGTTGGTTTTTAAAGATTCCAAATACATCCAAGATCACTCTGAAATGCAATTGTAAGTTTGTCTTCATTCAGTACCATTACCTCGAGCCCCCTCTAAAGTGACTACTGTGCATTCACTGGCCCATTTCATCAAAAACGGTATTCCTTCAGGTACTACTTAGTAACACCTTCAAAATTAGCAGTTTTACACTTTGGAATCATACTTCACTTCTAAACTTCTAAATAGTCCCAGTGTTAAATGTAGAAACCACCTCAGCCTAATTAATTTTATGATAAAGTAGAGAAGAATAGAAAGAAAGACAAATATTTAGTTTGATTTGTTGTTGACATGTGGAGATGTCTGTTAGAGCAAGGCATACTGACCCTCTGTCCTCCCCTCTCTCTTCCTTTATGTGCCCACTGATGCCACCACTTCACCCTACCTGCTGCCCATGCAGCCCCTTAGCTTCTCAAGCCAACATCCTCTTTTGTGACAGTGGCCATATGCCCCAAGAATGACCCCTCACCCTCATGAAAATGCCGATTCTCTTCTTTCTCCCTGATTTGCATTCAGATATCAAATGCCCATGCAGTTCATTCACATACGCATGAGTATGTCAGTATTCTCAGAGGATTTGCATTTTTTTAATTAAAGTGTATTGGGGTGACAACTGTTTGTAAGGTTACGTAGGTTTCAGGTGTACAATTCTGTAGTCCATCATCTATATATCACATTGTGTGCTCACCGCCCAGAGTCAGTTCTTCTATCACCATATATTTCATTCCCTTTACCCTCATCTACCACCTCTCTCCCCTTGCCCGCTTACCCTCTGGGAACCACTAAACTATTGTCTGTGCCTATGAGTTGTTGTTCAAGAGAGACTCTTCAGAGGTAGAGGAGGACACTTAGTAGAACAAATGGTGGCATTTCAGGCATGTGATAAGCAGTCGACGAGGAGACCGCCCTTGGTATCCTTCAGTCATGCCATGTATAAAGCAGGTGCAGCTCATATCAATTGGAACTGGGAGACTGACTTAAAGCTACTCTCCTAAAGACCCACGTTAGGTCTGCTAAGTGGCTTTCCTTCACCCAACCTTATTCATATTAGAGTGGGGAAGAAGGGGGATCAGTTAGCTGGGGCTCCCTGTGGAAATGACATTTTAATTAAAGCCCTGACGGGTAAGCTCAAATGAATTGTTAAAGCATGGGGTTAGGGAAGGGCATGTGACACTCAGGGAACAACATAGGCTAAGACCCCAATGCGGGAATGAGCTCATTATCTGCAGCTGGTGAGCTCAGCCGGGGCTGGCTGACTTGTTCTGCAAAGGGCCACACAGCAAATACTTGAGGGTTTGTGGGCCACATGGTCTTTGTTCCAGCTGGTCAGTTCTGCCATGGTAGCACGAAAATAGCCATAGAGAATAAGGAAACAAATGGCTGTGGCTGTGTTTCAATAAAGCTTTATTCACAAAACAGGTGGTGGGCTGGATTTGGCCCACAGGCTGTCAGTGCTGACTGACCTCGAGGGTGGATCGTGAAAGGCCTGGTAGGATTCTGACTTCAAGGTGCTCGGGGAAGTCAATGCAGGTTTTAGGAAGCAGCGAGGTGACGTGATTATGTAGGACAGACTTCTGACTTATATTGAGGCTGAAGTAGAAGGAAAGAAGAACAGAGTATAAGTGGGGGAGACCAGAAAGGAAGCTCTTGCATTAGTCCTGGAAAAAAAGGAAGCTGATCTAAGCTGTGAAAGATGGAGGATGGATAGGACCCGGAGCTATATTTTGAAGGCACACTCAGGGTCCTCTGCCTTGAGCCACTGGGCTGATGAAGATACCATTCACGGAGGAACTCTAGGGGAGAGTTGGCGGTGGAGTGCAGACCTCAGGAAAATATAGAATTCCATGTTGGATGTGTCAAATTTGAAATGGCTTGATGTCTCCCAGTTGTCAGATAGGTGGCTGACTTGATCTAACAGGAGCTCTGAGGAGCAGCTTAGGACAGAGGCGGGATTGAGAATCATCATCATTGACACTGAAGGTCATGAAAGGAGATCACTGAATGAGAAAGCACGGCTGAGCATTAAGTACAGGTGAGTCCGAGTGTTGTTTTTCAGTGTTATCTGTGAACCATCTGTATCAGAATCACCTGAGGTACTTGTTAAAATGCAGACTTCCAGGCTGTCGCCGCCGCCACCGCCGCGTTCGGGTACAGAATTTGGAATCCCTGCGCCGCGTTAACAATGAAGCAGAGTTCCAACGTGCCAGCGTTCCTCAGCAAGCTCTGGACGCTGGTGGAGGAAACCCACACCAACGAGTTCATCACCTGGAGCCAGAATGGCCAAAGTTTTCTGGTTTTGGATGAACAAAGATTTGCAAAAGAAATTCTTCCCAAATACTTCAAGCACAATAACATGGCAAGCTTTGTGAGGCAACTGAATATGTGTGAGTATGGACAGCAATTTGTTTGGAGTACTGTTATCAACCACTGATTAAACCATTTTTTCCCATTAGGATGATAAAGAGGAAAATATGCTCCATAGAAGCACCATTATTTTTTTACTTTTCTCTGTTTTAGTCATCTGAATTTCGAATCTTTTTCAGATGGTTTCCGTAAAGTAGTACATATTGACTCTGGAATTGTAAAGCAGGAACGAGATGGTCCTGTTGAGTTTCAGCATCCTTACTTCAAACAAGGCCAGGATGACTTGCTGGAGAACATTAAAAGGAAGGTTTCATCTTCAAAACCAGAAGAAAATAAAATTCGTCAGGAAGATTTAACAAAAATTATAAGTAGTGCTCAGAAGGTTCAAATAAAACAAGAAACTATTGAGTCCAGGCTTTCTGAATTAAAAAGTGAGAATGAGTCCCTTTGGAAGGAGGTGTCAGAATTAAGAGCAAAACATGCACAACAGCAACAGGTTATTCGAAAGATTGTCCAGTTTATTGTTACATTGGTTCAGAATAACCAACTTGTGAGTTTAAAGCGTAAAAGGCCTCTACTTCTAAACACTAATGGAGCCCAAAAGAAGAATCTGTTCCAGCACATAGTCAAAGAACCAGCTGATAATCACCATCATAAAGTTCCACATAGCAGGACTGAAGGTTTAAAACCAAGGGAGCGTATTTCAGATGACATCATTATTTATGACGTTACTGATGATAATGCAGATGAAGAAAATATCCCAGTTATTCCGGAAACTAATGAGGATGTTATATCTGATCCCTCCAACTGTAGCCAGTACCCTGATATTGTCATTGTTGAAGATGACAATGAAGATGAGTATGCACCTGTCATTCAGAGTGGAGATCAGAATGAATCAACCAGTGAATCCCTAAGTTCAGGCAGTGATGCCACCAGCCCTCTCATGTCTAGTGCTGTCCAGCTAAATGGCTCGTCTAGTCTGACCACAGAAGATCCCGTGACCATGATGGATTCCATTTTAAATGATAACATCAATCTTTTGGGGAAG